CACGGGGTAGCGGCCGCCGGGCCGCACGGAGAAGGAGGCCCCGCCGCCCGGGCCCCCGGGGCTGCGCTGCGCTGAGATGGCGCTCAGCTCACCGAGGCTGCTGAAGAGCCTGCGGAGGGAGAGGGGGTCAGGGCCAGGCGAGGGTGCGCACACCGGACGGGCAGGCGGGCGCGGGCACGGGCAGACGCCCCACACCAAGGCGGGACCGCTCGAGGCTGCGCCCCGCCCCGCCCGCTGCTCTGCTCTCCGGGAGACCCGAGACCTGGCCGGCTTCAGGGACGGCTGGCAGTGAGGCCCATGACACGGGGGACAGAAACCATGGAGCACTCACATCCACACAAGGTAGGGCACATGCGGGCGTGAGACACCGGCACACGGGTGACAGGAAGGCGGCCCCTGCGCGGGACTAACCCACGGCGCCGACGTGGGCCGCGCGCGTGCAGCGGCAGGGCTCCGGCAGCGCACACACAGACACGCAGGAACAGCGGTACCTGACTCCCCAGCCTCACCTGGCAGGACCTAGGCCCTTCCTCAGTCTGCTAGCGGGAAGGCCGGCCCTTCCAGAACCTTTCATCCCATCTCTACCCCTTACTATGGCGGCATGGCGCTCGGGGGCACCAGCTCCCACAGCCCATGCAAAGCAGACTGGGGAAGCCAGGCACAGCACATGGACCGCAAGAGGCATGGGATGGGCATGCTCACTTACACAGCCGGCGCTCGGGACCACCGCGCAGCTAGACAGAGCAGCCACATGCAGATGGGCAGGAGAGAGCAATGAGAGAGAATGTTAGCAGGCCAGGCCCACAACCACACGATGGGCAGCCAGATGCAGGACCCCTGCCGGACCCCCGGTGGAGGGAGGGGCTCAGGAGGAGGTCTCAGCTACTGCGGAGGTGCTGAGGGAGGAACGTTCTACGTGTGATGGGCAGACCTCAGAGAATCCTTGGCCTGCCTGCATGGGAACAGCTCTCCTTTAAGCAACGTAGACAAGCGCAGGCAAAGGACCTCCCTTCCTGGGCTGACCCAAGTATCCCTCATCTGAGCTGCTGCCTCCCCTGGTGCTTTGCTAACCAAGAGTCACAATGCCCGTCCCACATCCGCTCCAGCACTCTTAACATTGTCCTCCATTATGATTTGGTCATCACATGTCCCCCCAAAAGGCTCATGTATTAAAAACTTGGTCCCCAGCCCATCAGTGAGTGGATCATGAGGGCTTTGACCTCATCAATATACTAACCAATTGAAGGTTCATCATTTTAAGGCATTATTGGGAGGTGGTAGAAACTTTCAGAGGTGGGGCCTAGTTAGAGGAAGTATGTGCTTGGGAGTTCTGTCTCGTCCCAGACTCGTGTCTGTATACTTCTCAGAGGTGAACAGCTCTGTTCCACTTCTGCCATTGTGATGCTCTGCGTGCGTCCTCACAGACCCACAACAAGGCTAACAGGGGCTGAAACCATGACCCAAAACAGATTCTTCTTCCTGTTTGGTGTTTATGTCGGCTACTTTGTCACAGTGACAAGAAAGCTAACACATTCCCCTCCATTAAAGCAGGTTTTATCTTTCATCTCCGTATAGATGGTCATCCCCTCTCCAGAAATCCCTCACTCCCACTCTCCATCATTTCCATCTGTTCCACAGGCTGTTCCTCCTTAGCCTGTCCCTGCTGCCTTCTCCCAATTCCCTACATCCAGAATAGAGCTCCCGGAAGAGGCCAGACAGTGCCTCCCAACAAAGGAGTGGGGGTAAGAAGTGGGGCCCCAGTAGCAGGAGCAAGAAACAGGCAGAAATACCCGAAGAAACTCACTGCTGCCATGGAACCTAGCCCCACACTTCCAGGCAAAGTGGAGTCCAGAGAAGGCAGTGGAGTTGGGAGTGCTGCAGGGACTGAGATTATGAGGGAATCACATTTGTGTGGCCAGACTGTAAGGAACCATAGAATAGGTTTAGAAATGTTACCCTGCTCCTAACCCCAGGTAGTCCACAGGATGGGACAGCCCAGGACTCAACCCAAGAGTTCAGTTCCCATGTTGTGATGTCTCAGATGAGACATGGCATCGTGCTAAGTTTGACCACAACTGAGTAGTGAAGGCAAAAGGTACAGGAAGCTGTTTGGCAGTATAGTGGGAAGGTTCAGCCAGGGCCTAGAACAGGATTTAGGTCCAGGAAGGCCAAGTTGGGAAGAGCAAAACTGTGCCTGTCAGCCCTCCAACATGGTCACAGAGATGTGGAGTCCTGGGATGGGTGCAGGCGTCCTTCAGAGGTATACCTGTATCCACAAGGCTGAGAAGCTACTGGGATAGGAGTAGAGAGAAGACCAGTTACCTTCTGACCATCTGCCACCCATGTTGGAGACCTCAGGAGGCTTAGAAGGAATGCCCAAGGAAGGCTATTCCTTCCCACAGGAGGGAATGGACAAGGAACACACAGCCTGGGGTCTGCTCATCTCGCTCCTATGGTAGAAATCCCTGAAGTATCCAGATCTGACTTCTATGAGCTTCCATCTTTGTATACCATGCTTGACAACTGTCATTCCTAGTTATCTATCTTCCTGGTTAAGCAACTGCCACCGCTGTAAGGACTTCTGGCCAACTATCCTCTAAGATACAATACCACACCAAGTGTCATGACTTGAGTCCAGATTGCTCAGTGAAGTATCTATGACTCCCAAGGTCTTTCCCACCAGTATCTGGTATTGTCCTATCTCACTAACTACTGAGAATCTTGGCCAATGAGGTCTGGCACTTCTAGGCAGTCACCAACACCGGACCTGTGGCTGACACAGTCATCTGTTTCTCTTAAAGATATCCTTCCTGGATGGACTTTTCTGGCTCCTTCTCTTCATAATCTACAGTTCTCCTGGGCCACATTATCTACTCCCACCCTTTGCTACAGCTGATGTGCCCAGAGATGGCATATGTGAGGCACTACCAGTCTTTTCTCAACTCCAGTTCAGTAGTCTATGGTCTTCTAATATGCCCCTTGCCTTGGTGAAAAGCAGCCCATCTTTCCCACTTGAGAAGCTTGGAAGCAAGTAATCTCCCCTATCTTTTCACCCCTACTATGAATAAGTCACCAACCCCAAGTATTAATTCAAGTACTCCTTATCTCCTCTAGGTCCAGGTTCTTCTTCACGCTCTCATGGCTTTTTAGCTTACCTCTTTTCGTGCTAGGGATCAAATCTAGGGCCTCATAAATGTCACAAAAGCTATCACTAAACTGCAATCCTGGCTTCTCACTTTTTAAACTATTCTCCTTGAATTCTGGTATCTGGCACAAATCCAGGGATAATGCATTGAAAAAAACGTACCATCTTTAAAAAATAACACAGCCTTTTTTCCTCCTGAGCTTTCCCACTTCTGTCAGGCCATTAGGTACCAACTGCAGGAAGAAGTTCATACTCAGGCCTGGCATCCACCTCAGGCCTTCTTCCTTTGCATTCCTGTGGTAAAAGTCTAGGTCTGGCCAGGCGCTGGTGGCTACTCAGGAGGCTGAGATCTGAGGATTGTAGTTTGAAGCCAGCCGGGCAGGAAAGCCCATGAGATTCTAATCTCCAATAAACTACTCAGAAAAAGCCAGAAGTGGTACTGTGGCTCAAGTGGTAGAGTGCTATCCTTGAGCACAAAGACACTCAGGGACAAGGCCCAGACCCCTAGTTCAAGCTCTAGGACAGGCACAAAATACAAAAAAGAAAGGAAAAAAAAGTCTAGGCCTGTAGCCTTCTGCAACTTTGGGTTCCTCAATAAAGAAAAGAATCCTTGTAAGAACACAGAACTAGTCATGGCTCTGCAGCTTCTGTGCATGTCTCTTCTCCTGCCACCACCATTCCTGTTCCACAAGAGAGCTCAGGGCCTGCAGGGTCATAGTGAACCCTGGATCCACTGCCTACCTGGGCACTGCAGGAAATGGTTTCCCAAGCTCACAGGGCTTTGTCTGGATCCCTGAAAAACAAGCTAATAGGTAGGACCCTACAGCAGACAGCCAGTGCGGGGCTTCTCAATCATCTTTGGGAAAGTGAGTTTGCTATGAGACATAGTAATCCTAAGTGGTCTGGAGAACACAGCATAACCACATTTCCTTCCATACAAGCTGAGAAGTACTCAGCAAAGAATCTCTTTGAATTTGTTTCCAATCCTATTTCTCCATAAACTTTTTTCAGATGTGAGGGTCAGACAGATAGATATAAAACTGAAAGCCACTAGGAGTAGTAGTACACCATTTAATTCCATCACCTTGGCAGCCAAGTCAGGATGCTCTTTTTTTTTTTTGCCGGTCGTGGACCTGAACTCTGGGCCTAGGCGCTGTCCCTCAGCTCTTCAGCTCAAGGCAAGCGCTCTACCGCTTGAGCCACAGCGCCACTTCCGGCTTATTCTGTTTATGTGGTGCTGAGGAATCAAACCCAGGGACTCATGCATGCAAGGCAAGCACTCCACCACTGAGCCACCTTCCCAGCCTAGGATGCTCTCAAGTTCAAAGTCAGCTCTTAAATTCAAGGCCAGATTGAGCTACATACTAAGCTCCTGTTCCAAAAGGGGGAGGGGAAAGGGGCTGGGGTAGAAGACAGGCAGGGCTAAGGATGTAGCTCAGTGGTAGAGTGCTTGTTTCCTGGCATGTGCAGGGCTCTGGGTAAGCAAAGCACTGCTGTAGGACTCAAATTACATGTGAAAATCAAGCTCAAGTATGGATCCTGGAAGACAAATGGAGTTCAGAGATAGGTGTGGGCCTCTTCATGAACAAAGGAGGGGCCTAAAGACCAGTTGTGGAACTCAAAGTCAAATCTGTATCAATGGCCAAATGCAGCCTTAGAGTTGGGTCTGAGATTCTGAGTAGACAAATGGTCTACTGCCAGCAGGGCTGGACCTCAAGCTGGAAGCATAGAACAGGTAGTCTACCTGGGATAAACATTCAGAAGGCCAGTGATCCTGAACTTGAGGAAACACTCAGGATGCTGTATCCTCCAGCTACTACACTAGAACCAAAGATGATCTCACTGTGAAGGAACTGATCATATCTTCACAAGTTAGCAAACTTTGGCCTCATGATATATCTACAGGGCAGTTTAACTCCCAAAAGACCAAAGCTGCAGACCACTTTTGCCTAGGACTTCACAGTCTGGTCTGAGCCTCTGTGGAAAAGGCGGGCAGTAAAGGGTTTGCTTTTTGGGGATGTCCATAGAGGGCGGGGGGGGGGAGGAAGGGGAGGGCAGGGAACAGATGAGCCTGGGTAGCAAAACTCGGGGACTATACAAGAAACCAGGATTGCAACTCAAAGATGTGATCACTGACAAGATAGGTCCTAGTAAAGAAGCAGCCACCCCTGGACATCACAGTACCACACACTGAGACAATTCTCTAAAAGGTAGGTTTTCCTAGTAGTAAGAAGTAAGCACTAGACTCCAGCGATCACTGGCTGCAGGTCAGAAACTGATACGTAGCCCTGGTGGGCATCACGACAGGCTGGACACAGCTTGTAGCCAGAAACAAAGGGACTAAGGTGGCCAGCAGGGGAGACATCATAGAGGGTTGTGATTTTGCTCAGGTCCAATAGTGAGAAGGAGCCCAAGAAGTAGAAGAGTGGGTGATAACAGAACAAAACACAGAGGCAGAAAGGGAGCACAGAGCAAAAGGGTGGCTTAGTGCAACCGAGCCAACTGACAGGAGCCATTTATTGTACACATGCTGATACCTGTGCTTGTGTAGCAAACATGTGTCTGCCTTTTCAAGGTGGGATTACTGAGCATAAACCCAGAGTATTTCATCAGAAGGGACTTAAGGACAGAGGCTCCAAATAAAACAGGCAAGACATGCTACCACTTACTGGATGGAGTGACACACTCTGGAACCTGTCTTATTGTCTGGAAAGTGGAGTTTATATAATTGTCCATCTAAAAGAATGGTTATAAGGATTTAATAATGTGATTTGACATCCTCTAGTGCCCTGCTGAGCACATTTATTTTTCTATAAAGGACTCACTAAGACTTAACCTAGTCTAAACACCTGGCAGCAATGGCAGGCAATGTTAGCTCCCATACAGGGAGTCCCATGTTCCATAGCTGATGTTGCACACAGAGGACAGATGGGCCTTCACAGAGGCTAAGGGCTTACCTAAGAAAGCAGAGCTGAGACATGACCTGTTAAAAGAGTGAAAATTCTGGGGCTGGGAATGTGGCTTGGTGGTAGAGTGCTTGCCTAGCATGCATGAAGCCCTGGGTTTGTTCCTCAGTACCACATAAACAGAAAAGGCCGGAAGTGGCACTGTGGCTCAAGTAGAAGAGCATTAGCCTTGAGTTGAAGAGTTCAAGCCCCAGGACCAAAAAAAAAAAAACAAAAACAAAGAAAAACAGGCTTACTTTCCAGCAATCTGTAGACAGAAAATGGTCTTGCCCACCCAACCCAACTGACATCTGAGGAAGAAAAGTACAAGGGGAAGTGCAGAGTGGCAGAGTAAGATCCTTATCCCTACTGAGGTGAACACCAAACATGGTGAGAGGATGAATCAAGACAAGGTTCTGGCTGAGGAATCACCTGGAACCCATCCCACAATTGTCCAGATGCCCTGAGACCCAAAACCAATGACAAGAACTAGGTTCCCCAAACACCCAATGACTCTCAGTTGTTGGATTTGTTCTCCCTTGAATGTGCCCTAAGACGCCTCCTTGGAAATCACAACGACAGCACCAGCACTGTACTTTATTTTTATTCACTCAACATGTGTCTTTTGAGGGCCTATACTGGACCAGCCACTGTGCTATGAACCTTAAGTAGCTTTGACTTTAGGACCAAAAGAAAGATATATGGAGGGGCTGTTGAGGGAAGAAACAGAGGACAGGGAATTTGCCAATGCTGAGTCAGAAGATTCTGTCCTCAGGAATCTGGTTCTACAGAGAGGTCTGGATACCAACAGGTTGTCCTAATTCATCCACACCTATACCATGCGCATTCTAAGGGTGCCTTCCATACTACACTGCTGGGAAGAGGCTTTCAAAAATCACTTGGGAGCTAGAAGAGAGTAACGTTCCCAGAGCAAGCTCCCAGGATAACAGGATCTACAACAGTATTCCTTAACTTTCAAAGAGAGGAATGGTAATTATCAAGCTCCCTTTAATCTTTGGGTTCTTAACCTGAAAGAAGCTAGGGTAGACAGATCCTGTTAAAAAAAAAAAAAAAAAAGAGAGACTGGCAAGCCAGGGGTCAGTGGCTCGGAGGCTGAGATCTGAGGATCGCAGTTCAAAGCCAATCTGGACAGGAAAGTCTACAAAACCCTCATCTCCAATTAACCACCAAAAAGCTGGAAGTGGAGTTGTGGCTTATGTGGTAGAGCACCAATCTTGAGCATAAAAGTGCAGGGACAGTGCCAAGGCCCTGAGTTCAAGCCCCAGAACTGACATAAAACCAAAACAGCAGAATAAAAGATCTGCAGTACTTAAGCTGTGTACCACTCATGAATCTGTGAACTCTGCATTCACAGACAGTGAAGGGCCCACCAGGGTGTTCTGCAGGGCAGCAATGAGGGAGATTCAGCAGGTAGAATCCCACCCAAACTTAGGGCATGGACAAAAGCAGCCCACATGGGGAGTCTGTAGGAAGGGCTGAGGGGTCAGCTCAGGGATCTGGCAGGCTTCTATTTAGACAAGAGTAGCAGCGGCCTCAGCAGCACCCAGACCCCAACTCAGTGCTTCCCCATGCCAGGATTTCCCCCAAGTCCCCATGGTGGGGAACAGGACAGACAGAGGGACAAGGACAGGAAAGGGAGGGCAGAAGGTGAGAGGGCAGAGATGCGACTTCCATCTATATTCCTGAGGTACTTTAAAAATTATACCCAGAAATCTGAGTTTGACTGGCTTTAAAGTGTGTCACAAGACAAATGCTCATGGGACAGAAAAACAGGAAGTCTGTGGCAGGTTCTCAAATGGAGCCCGTGTACTCTAGTACTCAAAAGGAGTCCAGGCAAGGGGCAGCTACTGGACAGGTAGCACTGGTCACATGAAGAAGCCCCACTGACACAAGGAAGACAGGAGTGGAGGTACAGTTGGGAGATACAGAACCAAAGAAGAGCCAAAGAGCTGTGAGGAGGAGGGTGTGGCTCCAAAGTAGACCCTGAAACCCTTAAGGGCAAAGGCAGGTTGGGCGAGGAACCAGATCTGCAAACATCGGGGTAGGGAGGGCCCAGAAGGTGCTCAGTCTCCACCTGAGTTCACTCCTAGCACCAACAGGGATGTGGAAATCATCTTCCCTAAGGAACCTTCTATTCCAGACAGCAAAACAAGACAAGACAGACAGGTACACGGGTGGGAGTGGAGAGTGGCTGTGCCATGGAGAAATGAGAGATAGGAATGTGAAGGGGGTCAGAGGAAAGCCTACCCATGGACAAGAGGAAAAGAAGACAGGGGGCAGGACCCTCCCGCATCCCTGCTCACCGAGCTGCTGCGATGGGTGACTTCTTGGCAGGGTCCAGCAGACTGCCCAGGCCACCGACCGGCTCCTCCCCCAGGGAGCGTGTGTCTTTGTTCAGTTGCTGCAGGCGGGAGCTGAGCTCACTGATCACAGTTGGTTTGTCATCTTCAGGCCCAGGGAGCCCCCGGCTCTCCACCGGGTCCCCCCACAGCTTGGACCTTCTCTGGAAGAGGTAGCGAGGGCGGGCAGGCCCGGCGGCAGAGGCCAAGCCGGCAGAGGCGGCGTGTTGCTGGGCCATGAGCTCACTGTCCGAGGACTGCTTCAGCAGCGGGTCCCTGAAGGTCACCGGCCCCTTCCCCAGCGGGGACTTGAGCTTGGGCTTGGGAGGCACTGGTGGCTTCTCGAGTAGAAAAGTGTGTCCATCAGCGAAGGAGGTGTGGGTGTCGGTGAGCTCTCCGCTCTCTGAGCTCAGGGTGGACATGCTGGACACGGTGGAGATGGTGCTTGTGGTCTCCAAGTGCGGGTCGCTGGAGCTTCGGGTGTCGGCCTCCTCTACCCCAGAGTCGGCTGCGGACTCGGGGGCAGGAGGGGGCTCGCTGCCGGGCTTCCCCGAGGCCGGGCCGGGCGCCGAGGTGGGTGAGGGGCCGGGGCCTGGGGGCGGGGTGGCCAGCAGGATGCCGTTGGCAAACTCTTCCGGGGGTGGCACCAGCCCGATCCGGGCTAGTTCCTCCCTGGTCTCCTCGTCGCTGGAGGACAGCTGGGCGGGCGGCAGGTTCACGGCGAACACGAGCTCGGGCTCCTCCTCCGAGCTGCCCTGGCC